CGCCGAGCCTGAGGGGCCGGGGAGCGGGTTCGGGGGGTCACAGCGGCTCCACGGGACATCCCTGCCCTGCAGGTGCGCTCCGTGCGAGCTCGGCTTAGGCAGCGTCTCGGTGGTGGTGCCTTTAAGCCTGTGTGACATTACCCTGGAGCCAGGACGGGGACAGGTTCTGTGGGTGTGATGGTCAGGGCCTTCCCTTTGGGGTGCTCCCCAGGGACAGATTGAACACTATAGGCACATGTATTTTTGCGTGTCTACACGTTTTGGAAGGTAGTTTTCCTTATGGACTGTTCATATGAAAGTATTATATAAAGAACCCGTAACTGCTATACAGGTGCTTGGCAGGTGAGCATGGCCCTGGCACAGCCCACCAAGGCCAGCCTGGCAAAGAAGGGGCAGCAGGCTCTGGTCCATGGCAGATGGGGCTGCACCAGGGTGGACAGGATGGAAGGGGACAGAAAACTCACTGGGATTAGCTCCTGGGCAGGAGAAATCCACTGGCAGGGACACATCTTGCATCTTGCTCAGGCTCTGCAGTAATACCACCTATCACACTCAGCCAAAGCATTAAGGCCTTCAAAATGTGACTATGGCAGGTTTTCTCCTAGGAGTTATAAATCTGTTTTCATTACAGCTTTATTCTTCTAATTCCTGTGATATTTTCCTGCTGGACATTGTGTCTTCAGAATAAAACAAGCAGTGGGACGGAGCAGGTCACCAAACCTGCTATCTGGCAGCAGCACCCAATATATTTGGTGGTAACCTCTGTGCAAGGCTGGATAAATGTAGTGTTTCTACCTTCCCTGCCAAGTGGCTGAGCTCTTTGACAAAGTTCACTTATGTCAGCTGTCCTTTCCAGTTCCAGTCAATTGGTTTGCAAGCAGAGCATGAGGATTTCTGGCTGACTGGTTTGGATATACAGGCTAATCTTCATCGTTTCACAGTCCAGAAAACTTTTGGAGAGAGCATTTTGGCCTAAGGCAAGATTGTATCTCACAAACTTCTTCCCAGTATGTAAGTTTGATGCCAGAACTTGACCTGTACCATCTTTTTAAAATAATGTCAGTAATAATAATAAACATCTGCTCATATCTTACCTGCTCTCACCTCCCCACTGAGACTGCTAGGCAAAAATTTTAGTTATTTTATTTTTTGTAGTAATCCAATATATAATAATAACAATAATAACAATAATAACAATAATATCAATAATAACAATAATAACAATAACAATAACAATAACAATAACAATAACAATAACAATAATAATAATAATAATAATTTGCTTATTTTTGTTCTTTCTTTAAACATTAGTTAAAATGGCAAGCTCTCAGTGAGCCCAGCTGGCTCTACAAATGTCAGGGCAATACATTTCTTATGGCTGATCTCTTATGAGTAATTTCTTGGCTAATTTGCCTTGAGTGAAGCTGCACTGCCCACCCAGCTGAGGAGCTGGTCTTTAAAATGGAATATGAGGCAATGGCCTGGAGGTGAGACTAATTTAGTTTTTCTTGCAGAAATGTTTCTTTACTTTTGCAAAGCTTTTATTTGACAGATTTCTGTCTCACTTTTAATTCCCGTTCATTCTCTGAAATAAGGCTCAGTGAAACTGAAGGAGCTTGTGGCTCTTGTTTGCAGAGGTGACTTTGACCCAGTTGTGAGTCAGGAACTGATCTTTAACATGTGCATGTGACATTACATGATCTCCTTGTTTGTGCAAAAGGACTGAAGTGATCACAGCTCAATGTTGCCTATTATTTTAGGGTCAATGTTTTACATTACATGGTTGTCTACATGGCATCAGTGAATTGGCTTCAGCCACCTGACCACTCCCTCTTTCCCCAGCACTTTCATGGAAAAAGAGATTTATCTCACAAGGCCACTCTAGGGACAAAATGCCTTTCAAAAATGCCTTTTTGTGACCTTTTTTCTTGGTAAATAAGGAGTGGTGATTACTAAGAAAGCACAAGCTGTTCTGAGAGTTTATTTTCTGTTTTCATGTATGTTTACGTAAGTGTTATTATTTATCGCTTGTATTTCCATGTGTTGCCCTTAGCTTAGGGATAGAAGCTGAAGTTTGAACCCAAGTCCTTTAGCATCTTCACTGCTGGGTAGTGGCTGTAGGCTGTAGGGATGAGTTCTACTGCTCTGCCCCAACACTGTGGGACAGCAACTGCTCCAGGGCAGTGGGTCTGGGAACACAAAACCCAAAGGCAGCCTAGATACAGCAAAATCCAGTCCCACACATGGATCAGGCATTTAAATACCATCTGAGTGAAAATAGAGAGGTACTATTCTGGGGCAATGGAGGGGAGTTTCAGAAGTGCCCACAACTTTATCTACATACTTAGTGGATCTCAGGCTTCAGGTCAGTTACCCTTTGGTGTTGTAGTTAGGGTACCTGGTTTTCAGCCAGGCTTTCTGGTATGGGAAGGTTTAGCTTTTATCCCTGGTAGTGTTTAAGGACAGGTTGGACTGGGCTCTGAGCACCCTGTCTAGTGGAAGGTGTCCCTGCCCATGGCAAAGACTTGGAATGAGGTGGGGATGATCTTTAAGGATCCTTCCAGTCCAAACCATTCTGTGATTTTACAATTCTATTTAGCTGCTGCTGCTCTGAGTGGGAAATATACCTCAAGGCAACTTGCTGATTTGGGCTATCAGTGGCACTAATAAAATCTTCCACTTGTTTTTTAGAATGGGAATAATCTGTAAGTATTCCCCTCTAACACCTACCCTTTCTGTTACTGAAGTCACTGCTGGGTAATCCAATGAATTCTGTGGCATGGAACAAAACCAGGAAACTGGACAACTCCTGCATCAGAAAATCATATGTGGCTAGAAGTGAAACCAGCAATGAATACTACATTGATGTTTTCAGTTCCCAGGTGATTTTCAGTGTTTGTTTTGGATGTGGGTGTCCATATGTGGGAGAACGTTCCCAGCTATATTGTATTTTTCTCTATCTGTCTCTGTGTGGCACTGGTGCACTTTGAGAAATTCTTGAAGATGAACTAAAGATGTGGGATTTTGATGGATTCAACTGCTATGCAGACATTTCTATACTACTGTAATTCCATTTTACTCAGTGCATTCAAAGAACTTTTCAAAACTGCTGAATAGTCCTGCCCTACCATTTATACAATATGTACATTTGTATTTCTAGTACACACAGCCAAAGCAATTAAAAGCTTCTGCTGCTGTTGCTTTATTGACTACATCATGTAAAAGACTTTCTCACAAATTGTTTCATGACTTTTGCAGTTTGCAAGAAGATCCTTCATCCAAAAAGCTGAGAAGTAACAACAGCATCTTCCTTCACAACCATGCATATGTAAGGCAGTCTATATTCTCCTCTCTTGTATGAGTCAAAGGGAAATCTGTTTTTTCAACATTTTTAGAATACACAGAAAATATAGCCTGTCTGCTACATCAAAACCTTTATATATTTTATGTATTTTATATATATTTATATATTTTATGTATATATTCTATATATTTTATATAAAATATATATTTTATGTATTTTATATATAAAATATCTTTTTTATTCCTAAGTATTTAGGCAGGGAGGGTCACCTAGGGTGATTTTTATGAAGAACTAGCACAAGTCATGCACTGCTTGAGCTGTCAGATGTCATAAGTAGCCATTAAATACTGGTTTATAATAGCCTTCTTCACAGAGTTGAATTTAACCCCAAACTATGACTGTTTCTGTATCAGGCATCTAGTTTCAACGGAGTTCCACCCAAATAGAAGAGGATTCAGAGAGTAAATGGAGTTCTGCTGTTTTTCTGCCTTCTGATACTAAGTATTTTTTACCTTTGGTAGATTATTCTGCTGGACTCCTGGTGTCAGAACCCATCTCTCATTTGGCCACGTTTACTTTTGATTGACATCTTTTAGCCACAGTTTCTTCTGGAAAATAATGCACTCCCAGTGCTAATAAACTGGAGATAAAGAGGTGTGACCTACTTACCTGGCCCTGAGGAAAGAGGGAATTTTAAACTCCACTGTTGTAGGAAAGAAGGGATTTCACCATTACTCGCATTACCTAAAATGACTCATTCAAAAGATAAGACAGCCTGTTTAAATCTTGACTTGGTTATCACTACCACACCCTCTACTTTCTTATTTACATGGATGTAGAAATATTTCTAAACATTTCCTTTATCAGGTGATGCTAAAGCAGATGATATATAAAAAGCCCTCTTTTGTGGGAACAGTAAAAACTGGTCTTACTGCAATAATTCTTTTTTTTTCTTTTTTAACTACCCTTTCGGACAGACACTTCACTTACTGTAAATTTCACAGAACTTATCTATTATGTAGGAGAAAAGCTGTGCATTTTAACCTTGTGCAGTATTTTAGATAGATCTTGTGTTTAAATTTAGTCCTAAGGATTGTAGTGAAGTAGGACAAAGAACTCATCAGACAAGAAGTAATTCAGCCAATGGCCTGTGTAGCTTGGTTTAAAACTCATCATTCTCTTTCTACTGTTGGAGGGTCAATAACAGCTGGTTGAAATGCACCATGTTTATTAAACAGACCATTTGCAGAGGGAACAGTGTATGCTTTTTATACCCTACCTACTGAGAAGGGAAGCAAATGAAATGAAAATGTCTCCTGACACTATCCACTAACTTGGACAAATCACTTTTTCAGCTTTTTGTCTGCATTTCCCTTCATGTCTTTGAGCCCTGTAAATTCTTTGGGTTAGTCAGTGCAGATGGAAAACCAAGAAAAGAGTTCATTCATACTTTGTACTTAAATCTCAGCTGAATCTGCTGCATCCTACTGCAATAATCTCTAACAGAAATCCTGGTTATGGTGAAATTACAGTGCCTGGAGTTGTTCCCCAGGCTTCCCCTGACTTGGCCAGAAAGCTGCCATGGTGGCCAAAGATTCAGAGGTTCTGTAACCAGCTTATGCAAGGTTGAGGAATTGGCTTCTGGGGGTGTGATGCATCCCTCTGCTAATTAAAAGCACATGTCCACACAAGGAATGCAGCTCTTCAAACGGGAACTGTATGTAATTATGAAAGCAGTAGGAGATAAGAATAATTGTTTTCAGTTTTAGATATCCTGTCTTCCTCAGCACTGCAGGAAGATTAAGTGAAAGTCGAGGAAGGCAATAACAAAGTTCACATGCACAGCAGGATAACTGATGTGGACCAAAGTAAAAGTAGGATCTAACAGAGTTCAAAGAATATTCCCGTCCATATTCCCAGCCACCAAAGAGGTTTCTCACAGTCGTTATAAGCACATCCATTTCATGAGCCTGATTACCCACAGAGTGGCTGGATTGCACAGCTATCAACCAACTGGGCTGTAAACTGTGTTAATGAGAGGGGAGCTAGAGCATTTTATGTGAAATTATTTGCTTCTCTGGCTTAACTGGCTTTGGGCTCCTTTTGGACTCCATTCCTCATCACAAAACACATTCACTGCATGGCATGGTAAGGACAAGTTATAAGATATTAAACATGTTGGAAGGGCACTTTCTGAAAATGTCATGAAATGCAGTAAACTGATGTGTTGTGTCCATGTGTGGGCTTAGGGATAAAATAAAATGCAGATTCAGTGGAGGGTTAGGGAAAAGGCAAGAAAAACTAATTGAATAGGGAGCCCACAAGAGCTGTACTTTGCCAGATTAGTGAGTCACTGTTTGCTACGCTGTTGAAGCCCAGGAGACTTAAAAAGTTAAAAACTTTAAACCAGGAGTTAAAAACTCAGAAGAAGCCATGAAGTATTGCAAGTGTGTTTCAGTCAGCAGAGCAATACCATTGTTCAATTTAGCAAAACTGCTCTCTTGGTGGGTGCCATGGGTTCCAGAATCGCATACGCTTCTTGCTTATCAGCCCAGCTTCGGGCTGCACTTCCCTCTAAGCAGCTGTGTTTAGGCTCCAGGGAGGAGATTTTGTCATTTAGGGCAGGTCCTAAAGGGGAACTATGTATCAGTGAAGCCAGGCAGTCCAAAACTGTGAACCTGTAACCCCTCATTGCAGCTGTTGCTCAGCCCTGAAGTTTCCTCAGCTGTTTGCACTGAATTTATACAGGTGCTGAATGTGCTGCTCTGGGTTTGTCTGGTCCTTCTTTCCTTACATCCTTGGAGAGCTGTGCTCAGAGCACAGCAGAACCTTAAAAGGCAGAGGTAGTCAGCCATCCCTTTTTTTAAAAGGCCAGAGGGCTGGTGCCCAAGTTGTTTTAAACCCTTCAGTGCCTGAGTGCTACAAACCCATCCTTCTAGGGGAGAGCCCACTGATGTCTCAGCACTAGAGACGTCATCCCCATCACTTTTCATTGCAGCTTTTATACTTCACAGCAAGAGATAAGAATTGTGTGAGGTCTAGGAGAGTGTATGACTTTTTAGCCTGTTGATAGCTGTATTTGTACAGAAACATTAATTCTAAGCCCAGCTTCTGTGCTTGTTTATGTGTATTAGAATTGCTCCTAAAAAAGAATCAGTTTTGTGAGATATCTTATGTAAAACTTTCAGTATTTTATGTAACACTTTCGGTAATGAAGTTGGCATGGAAAAATAAAAATGTACTAGCAGAGCTGTGGATGGTGTAAGCCTGGGAGGGAAGTTCTCTGTCAGTGTAGGAGGACCAAATACTAGACTGGAAGGACTAGAAAGGAACTGATGTAATAGGAATGGGGTGAAATTTAGGTCATGCACACATGTGCTAACAGCAAGAATTTCTGATATAAAGTAAAAAATGAAACTGATACTGGAGAAGAAAACAGACATCCTGAACCATCAGAAGAAAATTATAAAATGATAGTGTTTCTAGTAGGCCATGAAAATACTTGTACTTCCATGGAAGAAGCTGGTAAGACATCTGAAAAAATGATTGAAAATAAGCCTGTGAGAGCTGAATTTCTCCCTCTTAGGGCATTAGAGGGTTAATTACCAAAAGAAAGAATAGCTGCTTCAGCCAGATACTTGTCCATGTGTAATTGTCTATGAATCCATGCAGCTAAAAACAAGGTTCCTAAATATCAACAGAATAAGGTTTGTTGTCTCCAACAGGAGGAATAGGAAACCTGGGTTTTTTGTTGAGGTGGAACTTGTCAAGTCCAATAAAGATATTACAGACACAGCTGCTTGCCTTGGGAAGGACCAGACAATGGTCCAAGAGCTGCTGCCTAATGAAGCTCCCCTCAGATACAGTATGTTTGTCATTTCTGCTCAAATGCTGATGTATTTGATGGGAGCACCAGCGAGTGGGGGGAAAAATGGACAGTTTCTTGCATAAAGCTGTGGAGCTTTTCCAGAACCTGGTTGCTTTGTCTGGAGGAGATGAACCCTTGGCAGGGTCTCCATCACTGGGCAGCTCTTAATACACAGGATGAAAACCTGGCCCCTGTGAAGTTGATGGAAGTTTTGCCATTAATTTCTGTGAGGCCAGGATTTCACCCTGGAAAGGGAGTCAAAAGTACATGCATGCTTTCAGAGACAGAGTGGCTGATTAAATACATCTGGTGCGCTGTTCTTTTATCAATCATTGATAAAATAGTGTCTTTTAAATATAAACTTCGGGTGAGCTTAACTGCAAAATTTAAACATGTCCTTTTACAAGACTTAAAAGCATAATTTGTCTGTTTTTTGTCTGAAATAACAGAAATCCTGGTAAAAAAATTAACACGCATCCACACCCATCCACTCCAAACCCCTGTAGTATTTGATGTGCTGCAGAAGTGAGCCATTAAAGCTCAGAAAAGCCAGTTAAAATATTTCTAAATGATACATAAAACTTTATCCTCTAAGAATGCCATCCGAAGCTATGTTCCTCCTCCTTTAATTCCTCAGCAGTTGAGCTAGGGGTTGATCTGATTTCGGCAGGGACTGTGCTTTCAAGTGACCCAGCACGGCCCCGTGTGACACCCCAGGGAGCTCAGGACAGGCACTGACCCTCACCCACAGCGCTGCGGGATGTGGCCGAACACCCATCACGGGGCTGGGTGTGCACAAGGGCCCAGGGGCTGTAACAGGGCACAGGGGCTGTAACAGGGCACAGGGGCTGTAACAGGGCACAGGGGCTGTAACAGGGCACAGGGGCTATAACAGGGCACAGGGGCTGTAACAGGGCACAGGGGCTGTAACAGGGCACAGGGGCTGTAGCAGGGCACAGGGGCTGTAACAGGGCACAGGGGCTGTAGCAGGGCACAGGGGCTGTAACAGGGCACAGGGGCTGTAGCAGGGCACAGGGGCTGTAACAGGGCACAGGGGCTGTAACAGGGCACAGGGGCTGGGTGTGCACAAGGGCACAGGGGCTGTAGCAGGGCAGAGGGGCTGTAACAGGACAGAGGGGCTGTAACAGGACAGAGGGGCTGTAGCAGGGCACAGGGGCTGCAGGACGCTCCCCTGGCCCCGTGTGTGTGCCCTGCCGCGG